GCTGGTCCTGATCGCTTCCACTTTCTCTCCTCGCGCGCGGGCCGAGGGCGGGCTCGAACCGGTGGTCGCCGGGACTGGGGGCGCGGGCGGGGGCTCCACAGAGGGGTCTGTGGGCCCAGGACCGGGTCCCAACGCCCTCCTGCTCGCGCGCAGGTGAGTGTGGGCTCCGCGGAGGACACAGTCTGCGGGACCCGCCACCTGGCAGCCCAAGAGCGCCACTCCCGGGACAGTCAGACTCAGCCGTTTCTTTGCAAAGTGTGCGGAGCGTGGCTACCTGTGGGAGTTGCATGCAAATGCGAGACCAGACTAAGTCCTGTCGCACAAGTTTTAAAACAAAGTGTTGACAGTTCAGATTTGCTGCGAATGCGCAGCTTTTTAAGAAAACGAGAAACAGAAACAATGAAAAGTCAGTGTTTTTAATACGATGGTGATGATTAATTAAAGGCTGACATTTCACCGGGACAAGAGAACCAAAGGAGCGGAAACAAGTTTTATCATTAGTCACTCTATGATTCTTTTACTCCCAATTTCTTTCACGTTGAGTTTTCTCAAAAGTGCTTTTTAAAAAAAAAAAAAAAAAAGCCAAGTCCTAAACTTCTGAGCTAAGGATGTTAAATCCAGATAGGAACCTCTTTCTTTGAAAAATAGGAATCCAAGCAGCCCTTCTGTGCCAGCGGCTGCTTTCTGCCACAGTTCCTGTTTGCTTTTCGGACTCTGTCCAAACCCGTGGGTTTTCATTTTTGCTCCGCTTTAAAGTGACAAGCCATCCATATGGAAGGACACTGCTGAGCAGGGCAAGGCTCTGCGGTGTCCGTTAGGGTCTTTATCGTGTACCTTACGCTATAAACCCGTCCTGTAGGAACAGGCAGGACCCTTGGAGAAACATGGCTTTTCACGGCATGTTTGTGCCCTCTCCTTGCAGTGAAAATTCCCTTTGCTTTTACCTGCTGTCCCCCATGGGCCACGAATTCTCTGCCTGACACGCCGAGTAGGAGCTGCGCTTTACGTAGATTAACTTCTAGAGTAGGTAATTTTTCAGGGCTCTTACCAACAACAAATCTGGTGGGAGGGTAGAAAAATGGCTACCTGTTGAGACAGGACTTGAGACACAGGGTTTTCGGAAATCATTCCACGGTAATGCCAGCCTTGGTGACACGGCAGTACCAGTGCTCTCTCTGCCTTGCTGAGACGACGTGGAAGGTCCGGATTGGTACCCTAAAACCTCCCCGTGCATGCTGGGTAAGGCTGAGTGGATCACAGCGTGCAAAACCCATTGGAGCCCCCTCCCTCTGCCCATCTCTCATGGAAGAAGTAAACTTTAAAAATGCACCTCAAGGGAATTTCCTTTAAGAATAAGTCTAACTTTGGGGACCAGCAGTTAGTGTAATGACTATGTCACTGGACTCCCATGTAGTCAACCGCGGTTCATGTCCCGGACCCGGTGGCTTAAACTCACACTGGGCGTGTGTGCGTGCGTGCCCAAGATCCCGAGAGGAGAATGGAGGGGAAGGGATTGTGTGACCATCCCCCCTGGGGTTATCTCTCACTTTCTATCTCTCTGTCTCTCTCTTTCTGGCAAGCACATGCACCCTATAGCAAAAACCTCTCCAAAAAAAAGAAAAAACAATTAAGTCTAACCTTTAATTCTTACCACAGGGGGCCCACATCACAGTGCCCTGAAGATCTGGGTGTTCTAGGCAGCGCCTGGAACCACTCCGTTTACACTGGGCAGAGGGGCCCGGGGCTCTCCATTCCTTAGGGTCGGGAGAGGCGTTAAAGGGTATCTGCTGGGCTAGCCAGGCCTGAGCAGTAGTAAGTAAACTGCACAGAGAGACACGGAGCTGTTTGAGACTGGAGGTACGAGCGTGTACACACTAACTCCTGGGTGAAATGGCACACCGGACCCTGGTTTTTCTGTAAGTCATGAAGGAAACAGCTTTGTGAACGACAAATTATGTGGCTTCTTTCAGCCAGAGAAGAGGCAACCTTGGCTACTGCCGTAGCAGTGATCCTGGGGTCTCGGTTTGAGGGGTGCCACTTCACTTCTCTAGGCTCAGAGTTCCTCTTCTGTGGAATTGGAGGTTTGGGCCAGTCACAGGGTGGGTGGCCCTTGCTGCTGGGACCCGGCCGGAGCTCTGGCTCCCACAGTCCCGCTTCAGGGGGCCCCTCTTGAGGGCCACAGCCCAGGGCAGTTCACTCCCAGGTGGACTCCACTCCCCGGTAGTGGTTGGAGGCAGGTCCGGCCACAGCTGTCGTGTCATTCAGCATTTTCCGAGGACTGGTAGACGCGGCCGGAGGTTGAGGAAGGGGCGAGGCCTGGAGGGTAGAAGGCACCCTGGTGGAGCACGGCATCTGGCCTCTCCCAGCTGCCCAGAGGTGCTCTCCCACGTTCCTCAGGACCCGGCCGAAGGCGTTTTTAGCAGGAAGTTCATGGCGTCCTTGTTTAGTCTGGCGTTGCTGGAGAGTAGGCGGTTCTACAGAGGGGACGTTTCGGAAAAAGGGCAACCCCCTGTACTAAGGGATAATCATCGCAGGCGCCAACAGCACAGTCCATAAATCAAAATAACTGCCTCAAAGACACTGGGAGCACTTTCATTAAGCGCTTAAATTGGATAACAAAGACTTGTGCTTAAATCCTCAGTCGGAAATAATAAAACCTCTGACAGTGGCTCTCCTGGTGTTCTCCTGCGTTTTCTCTTTATCGCTGTCTGTACCCCCGCCCCACTTCCACCACCCACCACACGCCTCCTTTCCTTACGGCAGTTATTGCGGACTGGCCTCTTGCTTTTAGGGCTGGGAGGTCTTACTGACGTCTTTATCCCCAGGGGCCGGCACTGGATTAGGCAGTAGGTTAGGGTCAGTAGTTCCCAGGTATGTCCCCAGGGCATCCCTCACCTCTCACCCCCACTCTCTTAGAGAGCAGGCCAGGCTGCACATGCCTGTGGTCCTCACGGCCTGTTAAGGTAGAATTGTAACTGAAGTGGGTTGTTACCGTGTGCCAGTGGTGTAGATCTAAGCACTTTGTGTGTGTATGTATGTATTTATGGCATGTGTACGCACCAGAGAGAAGGATAATGAGAAATCACCCCCCAGAGGGAATGGCCACACTTCAGTCCCTTCTCCATTCTCCTCTCAGGATTTTGGGTACACAGGCACATGTGCCCGCCATGAATTTCCAGCCACCAGGTCTGGGACTTGAACCATGGTCACCCATGTGGAAGTCCAGCACTTTAACTACTTTTAACTCCTTCAATTAGCAGTCCCCTTCCCAATGAGATACCATGGACAGTGCCATTGGTGACCCAGGGAGCAGCCTGCAGGGCCTCTGCCTCTGTGAACCTCAGCAGCCCAACTTCCAAGGTTGTAATAAAAGTTCTGTGCAAATACCAAGTGTCGCTATGAGGGCCGGCTGCCCGCTGCTGGTCTGGCAAACATGCGGGTGTCTGTAGTCCTCTGTGGGAGTAACCCAGTCTGATTCGAGACCTCACAGCTGCTATGGGCTGCAAAATACTTGCAGAGACATGGAGTCACGCTACTTGTTTTTTGAGAGTTACTGCAAATGCAGATTGGCAAAGTCACCGCCAGATTCTGTCCCGGGCAGTGGCAGGGGCAGCAGTCCACAGCTGAGAGGAGGGCATGACTGTAAGCCACACCATTCCCCACTCCCGCCGTCTTCACCAGGCTGTGGCAGGGATGTGGACACCGTCTCTGTTAAATATATTTCACTGGCCCATTCCCCTCCATTCCCCAGGGGAGCCCAAAACCATGTGTCAGTAAAGTTCTCCAGACTCTGATGTGTGATAGCTTTGAATGTTACTAATTTCACATATGGTTTTCCTTGACAAGTAGATTTTACATCCTTTCTAGAAACTGAATCAAGTGGAAAGATAAACACGATTGTATTTATTAAAATGAAATAGGAAATAGACCATTTGGCTGTTTTCAGTAACTGTAAAGTAATTCAGTTCTCGATTATGTTAATCAGTCAGACGTGAGTACAGACGTATTGAAATGTCTGTGGGTGATCATTCTCCCTGAATTATCTTTCGGGAAGGTTTTCAGATTATCTAGGCCTTCCTTTTGTTATAAACAGAAGTCTGATTTGTCTCCATCAAGTTAACCAAATGGCCACAAATTTGCCAAGCAGGCCCCAGGGTTCTGGGCTCAGTTACCAGTCAGAGATGGAGGGGCCAGGGAACGGGTCTGCTTTGCCTCCCAGCCTGCCAGGGGAGAGAAAGAGCCTGAGTCCTGTGTTTTCTCAGAAGTTCCAGTGCAGGCAGGCCATCAGATTTCTGAAGTGGTTGCAGACCTCCCTCTGTTCTCTGGCCGGCCCTTCCAGAATCTTCTGTATGGGGCAGTCTTTTCAGCTCAGCCAGAGCCCTGAGCCCGCTACTTGGCCTGGTGTCTGCCTCTCCCTTGCCGATGTCAGCAACCCTGTAGTTTAAATATGGAGCATTCGGTTTTGTTGAAAAGGATTAGCTTAGATATGAAGCGATACTTGTGTTTGTAACAGACGACCCAGAATTGTTGTAGCTGAACAAATCAAGATTTCTTTCCTAGACAGCCCTCCTCCTACAAGGGACAACTGAGAGGCCTAGGTACCTCCAGTTGTATGACAGTGCCATCCCAACACGTGACACTGCCATGCCAACACGTGACACTGCTGTGCTAACATGGGACACTACCATTCCAGTATGAAACACTGCCATCCCAGCAGTGCAGTGTCTGCTGCTGAGGGGACAGTCCCCATGCCAAGGCCCCGTGGAGCGTCCAGGGGTGCCTGGAGTGGCACACGGCCTCCTGAGTGTCCGACAGCCACTCTGACAGGTTACAGAAAGCTTAGAGATTCGACACAGAACAGCTTAATTACTTTGCAGTTGTGGCTGTGAGAACCCAAATGGGGCTCAGGGGGGCCAAAATCCAGGTGGAACTTGAGCTGGTTCCTCCAGAGGCTCTGGAGAATTCATTTTTCTGACTTTTCATCCTCTGGTGTCACTTTCACTCCTGGGCTGTCGCCTCCCCTCGGTCCTCAGAGCCCGCAGTGCGCACTCATGCTCTTCTCACTCCGTCCCTGACTTTTGCCTCCCTCTTCCATGTTGAAAGACTCTTGTGCGTGAAGCCAACTGGGTCCTCCAGAATAATCCCAATTTAAG